CCATTAAATCATTTCAAGCAACAGATATTAGTAGATAAAGGCGCAAGAATTACTACTCAGGAAAGAGTCTCATGTTTTGGAAACAATCGCTTTTTAATTGAATACGACAGGCCGGAAAATATTATTTCCGTTCTTTCCGAATACTTAAATCCTAAAATTGTCACAGGAATATATTGTACTCCAGAAGTGATTTATGAAATCAAATTAATACTAAAAAACGCTTATCCAACAACAAAATTTTTACACGCTAGTTATTTTCCTAATGATATTGTTAATAGAGAGGATCAAGCAATTATCATAGAGCAGACACATAATCGAGCCCATCGCAATTACAGAGAAAATCTAATACAAATTCGGGAACAATATTATTGGCCGCAGATGGTTAAGCAATTTAAGCAGTACGTTAAAAATTGCAATATTTGTAATAGCAATAAGTATGAAAGACATCCCAAACTAATTCCGATAGGCCAAGCACCAATACCTAATAATGAAGGAGAACAATTGCACATAGATATAGTTTTTGCGCAAAATTTAAAATTTATTACTTGTATAGATGCGTATTCGAAATTTGCAATTATAAAACGTATAGAGGATAAGGTAGGTATGGACGAAAAAATTCTTGAGATTTTACAAACGTTTCCAAATGTCAAAAATATAATTCTAGATAATGAACCTAGTTTTTGTACGGCACAATTTAAATCATTGATGAATAGATTAAATATACAAATCTTCTTTTGCACACCAAGACATAGTACTACAAATGGGCAAATAGAGCGATTTCATTCTACAATAATTGAAATTGCTAGATGTTTAAAACAAGAACATAATCTGATAAGTGATATAGAATCAATAACTAGAGCAGTACAGCAATACAATAAATCAATACATTCAGTAACAGGGAAGCAGCCGTATAGTATTTTATTTAATAAGGAAAAACATGCCGATGTAAGAGCTAAATTACAAGATGCACAGGAAAGACTTATAAAATTTCATAATAAGAAAAGAGTAAATAAAAATTATCATCCAGGAGAAATAATATACGAAAAAATATTTGGAGAAAGAAATAAACTGAAGCCTAGATATAGGAAACAAATAGTTTGTGAGGATTTAGGAGACAAGGTTAAAATAAAAAATAGAAATAGAATAATACATAAAGATAATATTAAGGTTTAATTTTTAGGGAAAATGATGTTTTTAATCATATATTTTGTATGGACATGGGGAATAAACGCTGATTTGATCGACTATACTAGGGAAAACTACGTACTAATTGAAGAAGGAAACGCAGCAATTTTTGAGGAATATGAATCGATTTTTCATTTAACAAATTTATCTGTTTTCCGGGATATAATAGAAAACTATAAGAAACCATACGACATAATATTAGAAGATGAAGATACAGTCGATTTTGAAATTGAACTAATGGAAACCCTTTTGGGACAACTGACAAAAAATTCAAATAGACACAGAAGAGGAATTAATGAAATAGGAACATTGTGGAAATGGATTGCAGGGACTCCTGACCATGACGACTTTTTAAAGATTACAAACAAAGTGAATGATTTGGTTGAAAATAATAATCGACAATTTACTACAAACTCCCAATTATTCAAAACAATAACGGACTTAACGCATATAGTAAATGACTTGCAAAACAGTATAAGTAAAACCTCAATAGAAAAACAGAGAAATAAATTTGTTATAAATGAATTGGAAAACTTATTACAAACAATAACAATTTCAAAAATTGGCATTTTAAATCCCATAATTTTAGATTTAGATGAAATTAATGATATAATTAATCATGAAGTCAAGAATGTTACAATATCTGATTTAATGGATGTATCAAAATTTAAAATAGTACAAATGAATGATGTTATAATTATATATATAAAATATCCAAAAATTATGGATATAGGTGTGTTGTTTAATGTAGAAGCTATCGCTCAAAAAGATGGAAAATTATTAATTGAAAATAACGTAATTAAATGCAAAAATGAATTTTACTCAGTGAACAATTGTAAGAAGGAATTAAATCAAGCTTTTTGTATGATAAATAAAAACCAAACTTGTTTAACTAATATCTTAAATAATGAAAGAGCAAATTGTACCAAAATTAAAGAAAAAAATGAACAATTAAAGATTATAAAAGATGGAGCTATATTAATAACAGGAAAACATAACGTTAATAATCATTCAATAGATGGAATTTATTTAGTAACTTTTAATAATAAAGTTGTCATTGATAATGCAGAATTTGAAAATCCTACTGGAAAAATTTTGAATTATTTAAGGGAAGGTAAATTTAAAAATTTTTATATTAAAGAATACATCGAATCGGAAAAAGAGCATTTAAAATTAAGGAATATTAATATATTAAATCAATTTAAACAGGAAATGGAAGAAAAACCGATTTGGTGGTCATTTACTACAATCTTAGTAATACTGTTATTCATGTACATTTTATGCAAATTAGGAAAGAAAATTAAAGTCAAAGCAAAATTAAAAAATGAGAATTGTAAAGAAACATTAATTAATGATATTGCATTAAGAATTCAAAATATAACTGATGTATATTCGAAGACGGGACGCTTCGATTTAGAGGAGGGGGAGTTAACACCCAGCTTCACTAGGCCGCATAACGGCAAATATAAACAAATATCCTAAAACTCAAGTACCTAAATGGTACTCAATAGAAATCAATGCCCAGCTTCACTGGACCACACAACGGCAAATGTAAATGGATATCATAAAACTCAAGTACCTAAATGGTACTCATTAGAAGTCGTAATATTTATGGCATTCCAATGCTGAGAATGCAAACACATAAATAACTGTTGCATGTGACACATTTATTTGTCACATATGCAGAAATATGAAACCATTGTAAGAATTTGTAAACTAAAAAGGAATTTAATTTCATTTGAGAATTTTATGTAAACAAAAAATTCCAAGAAATGCGGCTTCGGCATTTCTTGTTAGAGTTAAGATTGGTATAAAATAAGAAATTATTGTCAAAGTAGCCAGTAAGAGAAAAGATTCGGAAATAAACGGACACGCTGTCCGATATATTTTTAAAAACACCAAATGTGTGTTTAAACAATTAATTTGCACACTCATTTTCCATCACTGGAATATTCCAAATAATTTTGACAGTTCTCAAAGCGAAGCAAGCCTGCGTTGGGCCAACACCTTTAGTCCCTCAGTGTGCCCTAAAAAATGGAAATATTAAGCCATTCACGCAAAGACATATCCAGACAATATTTGTTACTTTTTTGATGATTAGACGTAATAAACTTCCAGTCTTTAAGCTTATTTCTCATAAAGAGCACACATCTTCCTCAACGTCTAATACATTTTACAATATTATTATTATTGCTTCCATTAATTTTGATTGCCTCCGTTTTATGCTGAAAAAGTTATGCTCAAAAAAAAAAATAAATAATTTTCCCATATACAAAAAGAAACTTGTTTTTTTTCAATATTTCTTACTTAGTTTGTCTTTATTATAAATGTGTATTTTTTATTTGTCTTTAAATAAACAGAAATATTCATATTATTCCATATCATCCATTTCAGATTGCCAATCCATGCCAGAAAGATCTAAATCCTATAATAATATTTTTGAAGCTACATATATTTTTTTCGAATAAAATTACTTACGTTTTCCTCTAAAAGCAATTTTTGGCCCGTTAGCTCGCCTTGTGTACACAACATGTACGCAACTCCGGTTTTGTGTCCAGTACACTCACAAGTCTGATTGCCAATCGGCATAGCACTTTGTACCACACGCTTTGCGAAAATAGTTGCAAATCGTTTGAAAGAATTTTTCCTCTCTGTCATAATTTTTTTTCGGCTAAAAATTGATCCTCCAGTCTCCAAAGCTAAAGGTGTGCATATCCCAAGGCCACTTCTGGAAATTTGGAGTATATGTCGTGTTTCGCTCTCGCCCTCGGGAAAACGGTGGGAATATACGAAATGTTTATCAAAGCCAAAAAAGTTGCGCATTTTACGTTGTTTATCAAAGGTAAACTCTGTATTAGTTAGGATGTGCAACCTGACCCCTTCTTCGTTCATATATTGTAATATAGATGAGAAATCAAAAAGCATTTGCTTAATATCACATCGGTTGCAGGAAAACAATATAAATGTTTTTGAAACTCCTGGTCGAAAGTTTAGTCTGGAAGCTACAGAAATAGCTTGTAGTATATCACTGTTTGATTTATGGTAATCGTCATTGTGTAAAAACCTGGTCACGTGGTTGAAGCAATGACGAAGTTTGTCAGTGGTATTAACAAACACTCCATAGTCGTTAGAAATACTTCGGGGATAATCAAAAGGTGGGACTTGGGCACCAAAGGCAACAACGGCATATCTGGAAAATAAAACAGAAGTATATACATATGTATGCTTTGGTATAATATCGAGCGTTAACCGATAAAAAGATGTAAGCGAAATATTTCTCAAAATTTTCTTTTTTATGCAGAAATGTTTCTAGATCATCCAGAAGCGTTTCTGCATCAAAAATAAAGTTTTGAACAAATACATCGATATAAGAAGTGCAACAACTTTGAAACATCTACATTTGTAATAAAGTTCAATCATAAATTTTTTAGTAGTTATACTATAGATCTTTTTCTACGGGTTACCTTTAAGCACCAATTACCTTGTTTCTACGAGCACATAAAATGCTGTAACTATTCGTAAACCCGCATACGTTCAAAACACATTTATGGTTTACTTGATGCTCACTTGAAATCAATCTTTAAAGTTTGAATTCGTTTGAAAATAATTTATCGCTGGACATTTGTATGAACAACTTTAATAAATAATAATATAAGATTGGCGCTTACACAAATGTTAGTGTTTGGCCGAGCTTCTCCTCCGATTTGTGGCGTGTGCCTTGATGTTACACAAAGGGGGGGGGACCTACAGTTTTACGCCGACTCCGAACGGCGATTGTATTTTTATGAGAAGCTGTTCTTCATAGCAAAAATGCACTTGTAGGGGCGACCGTTGTTAAGAAAAAAACTTGTTCCGTATTTTTATTGTTGTGCGAAGTTGCTTTGACTAGGGCTTGAACCCAATTGTGAATTTTATTGTTGTAAACTGAATATAAAAACAACCACAGAACACACCTGCAAAAAAATGTCCATATTTCAAAGCGGTAAACTGAATATAAAAACAACCACAGAACACACCTGCAAAAAAATGTCCATATTTCAAAGCGAATTTACTCATAAATTTTTATCTGGAAATTTAAAATCCTTATTTTAAGCAAACGTTTAATTGTTTGACCATACGTGTGTGTTAAAATTTTTTGCTTTGGGCAGAGTATATACAGTAANGACACCTCATTTTTGAAAATTAAATTAACGGTGCAAATCTTATGCAATTAACAAAATTGCCTTCACATGGAATAGATTATATTCATAGCCACCACATTATATACAATAATAAACCTTTTCGCAGTTTTTCACCATTTGATCCCCGAGGAGTACTTTTGGGTTGTGTGCAGCGCTTTCGTTTTGCGCGCACGGCAACACTTACTGTGGGGAATTTCGCGACATGATTAGAAAAATTTCATTTCGAGGATAAAATATACATAATTATGTGTTATTTATGAACAAAATGTAGGTGAAGTATAATATTCATCTTTAATGTATGCTGATATTCATGCTTAATGAAGAATAATATCAGTAGTTAAGTACGTAATTAACGCTTGTGTTTTATAAACTGGAAAACTCAAATCGTAATTATAGCATTGAATGGAGTTTTCTTAAATGTAAGTTTAAAATAAAAAAAGTCCATTGTAAGATTATATTTTTATGAAAAGCGTAAATTTTGTGAATTTATCAAGCCAAATTCTAAATTTCCGAATATATTTAAGTCTTTATTTAAAAAAAAAATAGGTTTGTATAGCTATACAGACCCCAATGCCTGCCAGCGCATCCGCCCAGACAGTCCATTAAGCACACCCAAGTTTGAGTGATCTACAAGTTACAAGCGTTTTCAGCATTTAACAGTTCATTATCATGTACGGTCAAATATTAATTATTATACACTGAACTATGAACTATGAACTATCTGTACTAGTATTTATAATAATAGACAATAATTTGCAATGTTTTTACACTTTTGCAATTATTTTCGGGCACTATTACACATTCATGACTTGCGCCACTCTGCCATAGTACGGTTGTTGCTCCCTTTCATACCACAGTAATTTTGTATACATCTCTGAATCAACAAAATACATGCTCCTTCTCATTTTCAACCCTGATCAGATTTTACCCCCGAGGAGTACTCAAAAAGGTTTATTACTGTATATACTGTGGCTTTGGGTTAAGCGTTTGGACACAATAACCAGTGTTGCCGTTTTAGATCTTTGGCGGCTAGATTTAGCTACCACATACTTTTTTGGCCACATCAATTATATAAATAGGCAATCATGTTTCCTTTACACCCCTTTTACGGCTAAACTGTACTTCTAAGGTATAAACAATTATTTATCATTAGAAAGGTATTTTGATGCTGATGTGCAGGCAATTTTTAAAATTTCAAATTAGTTTAAAATAGAGCGAAAAAATCAATTCAAAAGTCACACCAATACCAATGCCATACATGTACATGGTTGGGGCGGAAATGCCTCCTAAATGTATGCTTTAATATTGATAGTGAATTAAAGAAACGTGCTAAGCAGCAGTTTAGGAATAAGATGTATGTATGTATGTACATGAATAGATTAGCCTCAAACAAGGATGAAGATAATTTTGAGTATGGAGAAGAAGAGTTTATCTACAACTTCATATTCATGTTCATGTTCATGTCCATGTTCAAGTTCATGTTCATGTTCATTTTCATGTTCATGTTCATGTTCATGTTCATGTTCATTTTCATGTTCATGTTCATGTTCATGTTCATGTTCATATTCATCTTCATCTTCATCTTCATCTTCATCTTCATCTTCATCTTCATCTTCATCTTCATCTTC